AACAAACAAACAAAAAAAAAAAACGTTTTTTTTGTTGTTTTTTTTTTTCCTAGAAGCAACACTTAGCCTGGCGGCGGGGCTAGTAAAGCATGGCGGGCTGCCATGGGGGAAACCCTGCATACTGTCATTTCAATCTGTAGAGACTCACACGGAGAGAAACAGCAGTTAGACAATTTTATTAGACCGCGAATTTGCGGCTGGGACACCGGCAGAAGACGTGCAAGCTGAGACTCGCTGCAAGCTTGAGTGATCGGCTCGAGCAAAACTCAGGTAAGTCTTCCCCCGGGCCCAGTCACTGGTAGTGGAGCTTGGAGGGGAGTCTTGATAGGACCTGAGGTGTCTGGGAGGCTGATGGTGGAGATGGGGAGGAGGTGGGTTGCAGTACGACTGAAGTCATCTTGAAGCACAACTGAAGCGGGTGGACTTGTGGCTGCTTCGCCTTTTAAAGGAGCTCTTGCTGGATGATTGGATCGAAGCGGAGAGGTGGAGCGTCCTGGTTGGCTGCAGCGAAGGCATGGTGATAGATGATGCCAGTTAAGGAGAGTACAGGTTGAACTTGCGCCTAAGGCTTCATATCTGACAACTGTCAAATAAATGACACATTAGCTGACAAAAACCCTTTAAAAATATAAAAATAAAAAATAATAAAAAAATAATTATTTTTTTAACAATAAGTTTTCTCTGAATAATTTGCAGGCATGTTTCAAAAAAGATCTGCAAATATTGAACCGAGAATATGCAGGAGTGATGTTTACATTGGGCCTCATATTGATTAAGCTGGGCCAAGGTAGAGTGAGCTCTAAATCTTCTTGCTGTGGCTGAATGAGAAACTGGAAAATTATACTATCAGCCAATTTCTCCCCCCAAAAAAGAAAATTAGGATAATTTATTGGTGCCTACAAATGTTGGTCAAAAAATGCATTACTTAAGATCATGTTTACTTGTTTTGGGCATTAACTATTTCTACTAACTTCATCTAATTGTGCTAATTCATATATCAAAATATTCTGCTTCTTCTGGAGATTCTTGCTATATCTTCTACTAAAATTCACTATTGTACTTTTTGAAATATTTGTGCTTTTGTGCAAATTTCAGCCCCATTGAAATACATTGAAATTTTACAAAATTCCACAAAATTCTGCTAAAATGTTCTATTTTTTCATAGCTTACTATGAAGGATGGACGTCTACTTCTGCCTATTTCAACCTAGAAACTCCATTCAACTTTTAAACAAGTCACAAGACTTTAAACTATATTCAAATGTCTCAGCTTTTTTATATCTCTTACAGTTTTCCCACAGTTGTGATTAATGTTTTATTCAGATTTTTGACCATTTTCAGGTTTACAACGTAATCCTATGGTGGAATTCTCAAACTGTTGTCAGTTGTTGGTGTACACTCTAGTAACTGACGTTTTTTGGACTTTTCATGCTTTTTGACAAACAAATGATGCTGTTCATATTTAACTGTACAGAAAAACCTTCTCCTATTTCTTTAATGCGTTTGTCTCTTGTGCTCTGCTTATATCTTTGTGTCAGCATTCTTCTTGTCTTGTCTTCAAGAAGTCTTCATTCATATTAAATTTTACTGTTGAACTTTTTAAAATATTTCAGGTTGCATCCAAATTTCTGCCTCTGCTGAATTATGTTATATATTTTGTTATATTTTACTATTGTACTTTTTGAAATATTTCAGGTTTTATTTGTAATTATACAAATTTCTGCTTCTGCTAAATTGTATCTTTTGCTACATTTTACTATTGTACTTTTTCAAATATTTTACTATTGAACCTTTTGAAATTCAGGTTTTATACAAAATAGTTTCTGCTGAATTATACTATGTACAAAAACCTGCTATAAAACACAAAATATTTGAAAACCAGACTTATATGATCTGACAAGGAATCACACCAAGGCCATCAGCCGGTGTACAACTGAACTGATGCGATCAAGCTACTGATAGTGGCAGGAGTTTGGAGCTGCAACAAGAAGCTAACAGAAACGCTGAAGAGAAGAAGATGCAGTTGCAGCCATGCATGCCTTAATGTTGCACACCACAGTTTTTAGCAGTAGCTCAAACACTAGTATTGTTGTGGATCTAAGTTGCAAAGTTTTCCTTCAAGCAAATGCCCCCTTTCTGTAAATATTTCTGCCTGCGCCACCAGTTGTCTTTTGAATGCCCCCCAGGGGACAATACCGCCCCAGTTGAAATGCTAATTTACAGAGTGGAGTAGCAAAATGTTGTCCAGTCAGGATGTGACATGCTTACAGTCGGAATGTTGAAACTGAATCAGACAGTAGTTGACCTTTGCCTTCAATATGCTTTACTTTTAGCAGTTTTATTTGTTTTTCAGTTGAATTGGAAACAGAAAATGCCCATATGTGCAAAAGGTGTAAAAAATGGTTGTCAGGGTGTCTGGAAAGCATTTTAAGGGCGCTGTAACATGTAAAATTTACTTTCCTGAATTTTATATGTTGTTTCCTCATCAAAAACATACTTGGAACGTATGGAATGTATTCTCCATGAAAACCATTCAGCTGTGCAACACGCATGGGTATGGCTTCAAGGCACAGCTCCTCCTCAGAGCTGCTAGTTTCCAAGCTCCTGGGTCTTACAAAGCAGCCTCCCCCCACGAATTCACCAATCAACTCCTTCAGATTAGCCAGCACCAATTACCAACTGGGGGAACTGTGTATCCCCCAGTTCCCCCAGTTGGTAACTGGGGTATTATCGGAGCTATATCTTAATGTAACTCTGGTAAAAAATGTTGTTAAAGGGTTAAGAGACTAACCATATTGTGATGACTTCCTCAAGGCGGAGTTTCAGAAAGAGCAGGAGTTTTTAAAAAGCCCAATTTCAAATTTCATTTGAAGTCGTATTTGAAGTATTCAGGATTTTTTAAACAACTGATCGCAGCATAGTTGCTTGATTGTGCTATAATATGACACTGTGCTATAATATGGCACTGTGCTATAATATGGCACTGTGTGGCTGGAAAACACATAATACTGCCCCTTTAAATCAGGGCTCTGTCCTTTTCTCTGTGCTGCCATACAGCTTGTTGGAATTTGTTTTGCTGAATTTCTGAATAAACCCAAATCGAATTTACTCAGCATTACCAAGCAGAAAGTTAAGTTTAACTCTTAGCTTATATTCATCAGTACTGTGACTTCTGCCTGTTTTGGATTTTGTTGTGACTTCTGTGGTTGTTTGTTCTCTGCTTTACGGCTGATTTCTGTCCCGGCCTCTCTTGTTTTTCAGATGAGGGCAGGAATGCAGTACACCTGGCAGGAGGGGCTCAGATAGTAGCTGAACACATTAAGTTCCTCTCCCAAAATACTGATCCGGAAAAAGAGAGACTCTTGGCTGTCTTTTGTGGCATGCTGATGAACTATAGCAATGATAATGGTAATGACCATCTTCCTCCCCCAAAGACTTTATACTTATCTCAACTAATCAGTGGGCGTCCTCTTTCTTCTTCCCAGATAGTAGATGTTGAACTTAATCTGTGCTTCTCTAATTCAGGCTCATCTGTTCCCTTCTTTCTGTCACATCCTCTTGCTTTTTCATCATCTTCACCGAGGTAATCTAAACTCATTAACATCATCTTTCATCCTAGCAGTGCCTTCCTCCCAACTCTTAGCCAGATGGGATTTTAGAGAGTGTGCTGTGACTCAGCTGCTAGAACGTCCTCATCAGTTATATAGCTTTTAAGCTATTTTAGTAACACAGCTCAAGGGAGCATCAGTCTGTTAGTCTTTCACCCTGGTGAAAGACTAACAGACTAATTAACTGGTGCTGTTTATCGCAGCCATCCCTCCATTGCTAGCTTTGTTTGGGGTGATAGGCTTTCTGCAATTCTGATTGCAGAAAGCTGCAATCAGTTCACCCCTACTTCCTTTTCACTGGTGATCAGAAATGCAGGTTGGAACAATGAGGTATCCAAATTTAGCCTCAACAGTGGGTGGAAGAGAGGTTTTTAGTCATGTAATGACGAGGCTCTAAGACGGAAACCATCTGAGGAACCATTTGGAGCCGGCTCCGACTCCAGCTGTGGTTTAGCACTAGAATCAGTTCGGTGGAAAAACGCTTGACCTGTTTGTTGCTGTCTTACAAAACTGCAACATTTTATTTTTTTTAAGAGTTATTCTTAAACGCTAATTGTTGAGCTCTAGAACTTCTGACAAGTATCTGCTGCTGCTTCCTTGTAGTCTGCCAGCTCTTTCATACTTCCTAAATCCTTTATCATCCTAAGCAGTCTCGAAAATTGTGGAATTTTCAAGACTTTTAATTATCATTAGATAATTTTCTAACTCTGGATATTGTAAGTGTGAAATAAGTTCCCATACTTTATTGCTTGTTCCAGAAATAAATGGAGTTTTACATTATGTCCTACTCATTAATCACTGTGGTTTTTACATAACCTCCAGATTAGCTTTAAAAAATAATGATGTTTCACCCTCTGTTTTAGCCTTTTACCTCTGGGATTAAAACTGGCCCCAAAGTACTTGAATTGGTTTTAGTTTACACACAATATTGTTTAAAGTAAAATGTAATTTATCTTGGGCAATTCATTCCACATTTCTCTGTTATGGTTTCTAACTGATCTATTCTTGTCAGATGTAAATCTAAAAAGAACTAAACAAATAAAGGATGCTTGTTTTCCAGCCTTAGGCAAGGATCTTTTGGCCTGCAAAATGTGAGCTAACTTCCAAAACTGACTCCCAGCTTTGTAACACCATAAAGTGAAATCTAGGACTGGTTAAGTCATGTCAACCAGAGACACCTTAACCTGTTACCTTTAACTCGCAAAGGCAGAAATCCTCATAAGTTTTTTCCTCCATTAGTGCGGCACTTGACTTCCAAACTAACCTATGTATTAATTTAAAGAAAACTCCAATCAGAGACAGGTAAGCACCGGCTTTTCGTACCTGGTCTTCAATAAAGATGGAGACCAGATGTAAGTCATGGGGTTTGATTGGACAGAAACCATATAGAATAGAAGTGGTAATGTGTTATCAAAACAAAGTGAACCTTACTGGGCCCAAAGGATATTTCTTACAGTGCTGGGAAAAGTTTTTACCTCTTCAGACTGCCACATTTGCATGTTTCAGTTCATCAAGCAAATTGTAACTTCAAACAAAATGAGCCTGAATCAATACAGAAGCCATCCAGTTGAACCTGACTTTATGTTTAAAGTAATTGCCCCCTGAACCGGTCATGTCTTCATCAAATGTCCTTAAAAGTGTTTGTGAAGTCTGAAACATGGCTGTGGAAGAATCCTGGCCCACTCTTTTCTGCTTAAATTCAGGCATATTGGAGGGCTTTTCAGAATGAATATAATATTTAAACTATTCTATGCAATAGGTTCTTAGATGGATTTAACTAGTCCAGGCTTTGACTAGGCTTCTCTCAAATCCCTTTTTGTTTATTTTTTACTGTTTGGAAGAGGTCTTGCTGGTATACCTTGGATCATTTTCCTGCTGCATAACTTAAATTGTCCTGGAACTTATGGTCATAATCTGATGGCTGGAGATTATCCTTCAGAATTTTCTAGAATCCATGGTTCTGTCCATTATGGCAGTTAGTCTAGGACCTAGACTCTAGGTCCTAAGCCTCAGACTGTTTGACTGTAGACATGATGCTGTCTTCCTGAAATGTTAGCTTTAGGTCAGAGAATATTTTCCCAACAGTAAGTATGAGATGGGCCGTTTTGTTCTTTTTGGGTCAACAATGGTTTTGGCTTTTGAATTCTGACATGGAGGCCAATTGAAGCAGAGCTAATCCGATCACTTCCATTCAACTCCAGTGTGGCACCAAGATGATGAAATTTCCTTACTACTAAATATTTCACAATTAGTTAAGTGGGAACAACAGGATTCAGCCATGAAGTGGGAGGCCACTCAAAATTACAGCAAGGTCAGCAGATGTTGAGGAGTGTATTGTGTAGTCATCAACTTTCTGCAAAGTCAACAGCTGCAGACCTCCAAATTTATGTGGTTTTCAGATTAGCTCAAGAGCTGCATAGAGAGCTGAATGAATGAGGTTTCAGGTTCAAGCAGCTGCACCCCAGTCTTGCATCACCAGGGGCAATGTGAAGCCTGGATGGGGAGGTGTAGAGTTTGTTGCCCTGGACTATATAGCAGCGGACATGTTCTTCGGAATCATACTGCCGAGGGTTTGAAAGAACAGTACTTGCCTGACTGCATTGTCAGGTGTAAAGTTTGGTGGAGAGAGGAACAAGGAATGTGGTGTTGGGCTGTTTTAGCAGTTAGACTTGTTCCTTCAGTTGCAGTAAAAGAACTTTTAATGCTTCAGCATACTAAGACATTTGAAGAACTTTGAGTGAACAGTTTGGAGACAGTTTCCTCATGTTCCAGTGTGGCTGAGCACCAGTCCACTTAGCAAGGCCCATAAACATAAGGATGATCCAGTTTTGTGTGGGAGAACTTGACTGACCTGCAAAGAGTTCAGTGTTTGACCACACAAATTTGCTTTCAGAAGGATGCTAAAAATTTCCCATTAACGCTTTTGAGCCTTGTGGAAATTAAGAATTGAAGTAATTTTAGCAGCAGAGGATGCGCTAACCTCACATCAAACTCTGTGGTTTAAGAATGAGAGTTCATGTGTTTGTAATTCTGACTATATATTCAGAATCACAAACACGTGATTCTGAATTCAGTGCATGTGTTTTTCTGCCACGTCACAGTTCCACTCTACTTTGTGTTGATTACTTAAAATCCACAGACATTTGAGGTTTTAATGATACAAAATGGGAAAACATTGGAGAAGGAAGAGGGATACTTTTGAAAGGCTTTATCTATGGTTCCCTGTCCCGGACTGGACTGGATGGTTTGTTGTACTCATAGGGTGCGTTTACACTGCAGCCTGAAGTGACCCAATTCCAATTTTTTTGACGTAATGCGACCTGTATCTGATCTTTTCATGGCAGTGTGAACAGCAAAGGTCGGATTCTTTTTCGAATGTGACCCATATCCGATACGTATCCGATCCAAATGTGACCTAACGTCCAGGCCGCATTCATCCGAACTGAACGTCAGTTTCTCAACAAATCTCACTATTCTGTGTCCTGATACGCGCAAGTGGGAAGGAAAACAACAACCATGACGGACTATATGAGAATTAAATTGTTAATATGCTGCTCCGGCCGGATAACAACTTCAAATATATAAGTTATGCTCCACCATTAGCCTCCATGTGTACTTCTGCAAACACTGAGCACGTCTTCTTTTTATGGCAGTTGGCAGAACACTGAGAACGCTGACGCTATTGCGCCCTCTACTGCGCATGCGGGACACTTTCAGGTCGTTTGCCCGTTTACACTGCAGAACACATACAGGTAGCATTTACTGGCAGTGTGAACGGCCCGGCAAAAAAATCAGAATTGCCAAAATATCGGAATTGAGTCACTTCAGGCTGCAGTGTGAACGCACCCATAGAGGACTATCACCATTTTCAGTAGCGAAGGGAAGTTATATGTGGAAAGTGAGTACATTGTCCTGATCCTCTTTTTTTTTTTCAGTTGTACTAAGCTCTAGTAGTTCGGTTTAGAGGTAAGTTGTGAATTAAGTTTTGGTTACCGTTGGGAATATACCATTTCTGGTTAGGGTCAGGAAAATGTCCAGGTTAGGCATAAATGCAATAACTAATACAAAGTTCTCAGTTGGATAAAAGTACAACATTGCATATGTGCATGTCTATAGGTAATGGTAAGGACAAAAGTTGACCTGAAACTAGAACTGTATAGACATTTTGCTGATTTACACAACGGAAAACACTATTTATGGATTAGGGTTAGGCTAAATAAATTCTTAGACTTGACTAGGCTTAGGGAAAACATCAGGATTAGGCTACAGAAATTAGTGGAAGTCGATGCGAGTTCACACAAGTATAGTAAGGCATGACCGTGTGTGTGTTGGCAGAGTGTTATGCTGGGTTATCCACTTGGCTGGGGATTGGGAGGTTTTGAAAGGTTGCAACTTTCTGCAGCTTTCAATGTAACACCCCATGTAGATTTTAGAGTTAAAAGGATTGCCATTGCTTTTTGTTATTGGTGCATCAGCTTCTTAGCTTTTGCTGAGAAGCTGAGAAGGCATTTGCTCTGGAGAAGTGATGAAAATGGGAGAAACATGCTCTCAATGCAGAATAAAAATTTATGTAGTTTTTTTCATTGATTGTGTGTCAAATTATAGAATTGTTCCCCAATGTTAGCACCTATAAGATCTCATCTTAATAAAAACATTAATATTTATGTCCAGTTGCTAATAGTCTTTCTGGAAGTATGTGAGGTGATCAAGGCTTTGCTCTCTCTGCTCTGTATGTCTTCTGTTCTGCTGACTTATCCTCATAATTCTTGTTTTTCAGTACTGAAGGTGTTTTACCTCATTTTTCCTCTCAGCATTTAAATTATCGACCACATTTTATACACCTTAGAGGATCAACTTCTTGTGTCCTATTATCCATGTTTTTGTCTTCAGCCATTAAGTGTTTGTATCCTGATATTGACAGAAGAAGAAATCTAATCTAAAATCTTGCTATTGAATATTTGCTGCCATGTGGTCAGCAAATTTCTCCACGGGAGCCAGACACACCACTTCAGTATAATTCATTATGTTTCATCTCAATATAATTCATAATGTTTCTTCTGAAATGACATAAAAATATTGGTTTTTGTGGCACACACCTTTTACCTATTAAGAAACATCACTTAGCTGCATTTTTCATATGTTTTTTTGCAGATACCTTACAAGCCCAGCTGATTAACCTGGGTGTTATTCCAACCCTGGTGAAGCTGCTGGGCATCCATTCCCACAACACCGCCCTGACAGAAATGTGTTTGATTGCTTTTGGGAACTTGGCAGAGCTGGGTAAGTACGCTACATTAGCCCAGGTTTGAAATATTCCATGTCAAACGTGTTAAACAGATACACAAGGGAGGACTGTTTTCTCAGCACTTTTAGTGCAGTATAATGTGGGGTACAAAACTAACTGCTGTTGGTGATGACGTGTGCTTTCATCTCTTTTCCATTTGCTCTGGAGAAGAGATGAAAATGGGAGAAACATGCTCCCATTGCAAAATAAAACTGGGGTTTTCAGCAAAAACAAACCCAATTGATGATTCTGCTGGAACAGTTACTAGTGCACCGATTCATGGCAGATCACCAATCTTCTAAAAGCCTGACCTGCCCATTCCGATTTTGGCCAATACAAGATTTTGTCATAAAAGTCGCTAAATATAGTGACAAAGTTGGATCTGTTGATCAGCCCTCTCTTATGGCAGAGCACAAGGGCACAGTGGCTGATCCCCACTCTGTTGGTGAGCCTGCAGGTTTTAATCAGGTAGGGTTGATGAAGCAAAATGGCGGCCTTGCTCTGTCAGCTTGCCCCAGGGCAGCTGTGGCTACAATCCACTTGCCATCATCAGTGTATGAATCTGCCCTTTGATATCTCAATTTGATATAAAGAGCATTATAAATAAAATAAATTTTTACTATTATTTGGTCCGAGTGGCAAAATGCTCAAGCAGCAAAAAGCCAATTCATTTGCTTCTGTAAAATGAATTAGCTTTTTGAAAACTGCAACATGTGTGAGAACTTACCAAATTTGACAGACATATCACGCCTGTATGAAAATTACGTATTTTAAGGGAGTCACTAAAATTACAACAGAAACGGTTCAGCAGTGCCCTTTGGTAGCTTTCGAAATACCCTCCTCCCATTGACCTTACTTTAGTGTAGAATCATGAAACTTGGCACACTTGTACAACTCCACAAGATGTACAGAAAGCTCTATTGGTTCTACGGTCTATACCAAACAGGTATATCTTGCCATCTTGGATAGAAGTTCCGATTTTGACCTCAATTTGGCCTCTATTCTTATCTGTCCCCCAATAGCAATCCATGACACTCAATGGTGGGTGTGGTCTAATTCCTCTACAGCACCCACTAGGGTGTCCACCCGTCCCGTAAAATACGGAATTGTCCCATATTTGGCTATTAAATGTTGCGCCCTGTATTCGGGACGCGATTTGTTCCGTATTTCTATAAATGTCCGATAGACGCGCGTCTCTTTAAAACATCCCCAATCCAATACTCCACCGTCCTTAGGAGCAAGACCTCTCGTAAAGATACAGACGTGAGAGGGAAGGGCGTTCCCAGGCCAGCCGAGCATGTCCTGGGTCTTCCTGTGGGCCTCCTCCTGGTGGGACGTGCCCAAAAGACCTCACTAGGGAGGCCTCAAGGAAGCATCCTAATCTGATGCCTGACCCACCTCAGCTGGCTCCTCTCGAAGTGAAAAATTAGCAGCTCTACTCTCAGTCCTTCCTGGGTGACTGAGCTTCTCATCCTATCACTAAGGGAGAGCCCAGACACCTTATGGAAAAAACTAATTTTGGCCGCTTGTGTTTGTGATTTTGTTCTTTCAGTCAAGCCCTTAAGCCTATGCCATAGATGAAGGTAGGGACATAGATCAACTGGCAAATCGAGACCTTTGCTTTTCGATCCAGCTGTCTCTTCACCAAAACAGACTGGTACAGCGCCCACTTTACTGCACCAATCCTTCTATTGATCTCCTGTTCCATTTTGCCCTCATTCTTGATGTTATGGATTCTGTATTTTCCTCCATCTCTTTTAGCCTCTTAACACGCTGCAGCATAAATAACCATGTTTATATGTGACTGCTGACAGTCATATGTAAACTGATTAGAGTACCGTTTAGTACCGTA